ATTAACTTGTTTTGACTTGTGATGGATGGATGTTTGCCTTGAATAATTCTCGATTTTTTAGATGTAGAGGATCAAATCTGAAAATGGGGTTTACAATCCTACCCTATAATTATGGTGGCTTGCTCGAGAGCATATATATGTGTTAATGATTTTAAATTTTTAAAAGAGAGTTTATTAAGTTTAAAATAACTGCACTTTTATCGAGATGAAGCAAAATTTATATTCATCTTATATTTTGTTTGCACAATATTTTCTTATCCTAAGTTTAAGCATTTAGCATATTTGTCAAAGCACACACTTGTTTTATTCAATTTTTCAGGGATCATCCCGATTTTAGATTCAAGCTTTTTATTCATTTATAGCACCAGAATCTTTCATATTATGTCAAAAATACCACCATTTAACTTTTAAAATGTGAAATACACATTTTCATGCATAGGTAAGATAGTATGTATGTCAAAATTAAAGTTTAGGTGTTAGATAAGTGCATACATAGGAATTGAGTGGTATGTCTGTAAATCTTCCTATACATTAATATAAACATAAAAGGAAAAGCGGGGTTAATCTCTCACATTACTACTTATCACTAATCTAAGAAATCAACCTAAAGCTCTAATGATAATTCAATCTAAAATTCCCCCAGACGTCTAAACCGTTTCTCTAATATCGGTTTCTATCACGCTTGGTTTTGATACACAATGTAGGCCATTACTCGGCATGGCAGAGAGAAAATTTCCAACAAAACATACTCAATTTCAAAAATAAATCTATATTAATATTTATGAAATAATTCTCTAAATATTCCATTGCCATAAATAATCTTAAATCCTGGATCCAAATCATGTGATACATACATAATGCCATTAACATCAATAAGAAAGCTTATATAACAACACTCTTGTGTTTAGCCCTCGTGATAGATACAGGGTTTGAGGTAAAACGCTTTTTCATTTAAACTATGAAAAATATGGGGTCAATTTGATTTTCATATTTGATTTTTGAAACTTAAATCTATATGTAAATTAAAACGTCCTTCTGAAGCGGGCGACGTGATTTTGATTCTGGTGACCGACAGCTTCTTACGGGCAACAACAACCCCCAACACCTTCTCCTTTTTATCGCCGACATGAGCTTTCACCATTAATAAATTGTTGTAGAGAACAAATATTTGCTCTTAGCTTCATGCAATAGATTTTACTAAATAATTTGTTTCTTAGAATTTTCATATATTTTTAAATTTAATCTCAAAATGATTTACGGTAGGATTTGTTGGTTTTGTTAATTAGGAACCATTCTGGTTGATATTTGATATCAACGCAACCATCATTAAGGTGTATGTTTAAGTTATGTTATATTAAATCTTGTTAAACTCTGTTTTCTTGGTTGTAGATTGGGTTCATAACTTTGCATAGCTAAGTTTATTTAAACATTTTTTTGCATTAAAGTGCTTGTAGGCTCGACTCCCATATGTAGAGGATTGTGTCTATGTAGTAGAACTTCTAATTGTTCTTAATAGACTTGAAACCAAGAAATTGCTTAAAAAATTAAAATAAGATTTTATTTCTTAATGGTTTTGAAGGCCTAACGTAGGCGTGAAACAAAGTAACTTTGTGGGTTTTGCAATTAAGTTTTAGACTTCCAGTTTGATGATTAACTTGTTTTGACTTGTGATGGATGGATGTTTGCCTTGAATAATTCTCGATTTTTTAGATGTAGAGGATCAAATCTGAAAATGGGGTTTACAATCCTACCCTATAATTATGGTGGCTTGCTCGAGAGCATATATATGTGTTAATGATTTTAAATTTTTAAAAGAGAGTTTATTAAGTTTAAAATAACTGCACTTTTATCGAGATGAAGCAAAATTTATATTCATCTTATATTTTGTTTGCACAATATTTTCTTATCCTAAGTTTAAGCATTTAGCATATTTGTCAAAGCACACACTTGTTTTATTCAATTTTTCAGGGATCATCCCGATTTTAGATTCAAGCTTTTTATTCATTTATAGCACCAGAATCTTTCATATTATGTCAAAAATACCACCATTTAACTTTTAAAATGTGAAATACACATTTTCATGCATAGGTAAGATAGTATGTATGTCAAAATTAAAGTTTAGGTGTTAGATAAGTGCATACATAGGAATTGAGTGGTATGTCTGTAAATCTTCCTATACATTAATATAAACATAAAAGGAAAAGCGGGGTTAATCTCTCACATTACTACTTATCACTAATCTAAGAAATCAACCTAAAGCTCTAATGATAATTCAATCTAAAATTCCCCCAGACGTCTAAACCGTTTCTCTAATATCGGTTTCTATCACGCTTGGTTTTGATACACAATGTAGGCCATTACTCGGCATGGCAGAGAGAAAATTTCCAACAAAACATACTCAATTTCAAAAATAAATCTATATTAATATTTATGAAATAATTCTCTAAATATTCCATTGCCATAAATAATCTTAAATCCTGGATCCAAATCATGTGATACATACATAATGCCATTAACATCAATAAGAAAGCTTATATAACAACACTCTTGTGTTTAGCCCTCGTGATAGATACAGGGTTTGAGGTAAAACGCTTTTTCATTTAAACTATGAAAAATATGGGGTCAATTTGATTTTCATATTTGATTTTTGAAACTTAAATCTATATGTAAATTAAAACGTCCTTCTGAAGCGGGCGACGTGATTTTGATTCTGGTGACCGACAGCTTCTTACGGGCAACAACAACCCCCAACACCTTCTCCTTTTTATCGCCGACATGAGCTTTCACCATTAATAAATTGTTGTAGAGAACAAATATTTGCTCTTAGCTTCATGCAATAGATTTTACTAAATAATTTGTTTCTTAGAATTTTCATATATTTTTAAATTTAATCTCAAAATGATTTACGGTAGGATTTGTTGGTTTTGTTAATTAGGAACCATTCTGGTTGATATTTGATATCAACGCAACCATCATTAAGGTGTATGTTTAAGTTATGTTATATTAAATCTTGTTAAACTCTGTTTTCTTGGTTGTAGATTGGGTTCATAACTTTGCATAGCTAAGTTTATTTAAACATTTTTTTGCATTAAAGTGCTTGTAGGCTCGACTCCCATATGTAGAGGATTGTGTCTATGTAGTAGAACTTCTAATTGTTCTTAATAGACTTGAAACCAAGAAATTGCTTAAAAAATTAAAATAAGATTTTATTTCTTAATGGTTTTGAAGGCCTAACGTAGGCGTGAAACAAAGTAACTTTGTGGGTTTTGCAATTAAGTTTTAGACTTCCAGTTTGATGATTAACTTGTTTTGACTTGTGATGGATGGATGTTTGCCTTGAATAATTCTCGATTTTTTAGATGTAGAGGATCAAATCTGAAAATGGGGTTTACAATCCTACCCTATAATTATGGTGGCTTGCTCGAGAGCATATATATGTGTTAATGATTTTAAATTTTTAAAAGAGAGTTTATTAAGTTTAAAATAACTGCACTTTTATCGAGATGAAGCAAAATTTATATTCATCTTATATTTTGTTTGCACAATATTTTCTTATCCTAAGTTTAAGCATTTAGCATATTTGTCAAAGCACACACTTGTTTTATTCAATTTTTCAGGGATCATCCCGATTTTAGATTCAAGCTTTTTATTCATTTATAGCACCAGAATCTTTCATATTATGTCAAAAATACCACCATTTAACTTTTAAAATGTGAAATACACATTTTCATGCATAGGTAAGATAGTATGTATGTCAAAATTAAAGTTTAGGTGTTAGATAAGTGCATACATAGGAATTGAGTGGTATGTCTGTAAATCTTCCTATACATTAATATAAACATAAAAGGAAAAGCGGGGTTAATCTCTCACATTATGTATATCAACTCTCTAATATATATATATATATATATATATATATATATATATATATATATATTCCTACATTATCTCATTATACGTCTCTTATTTCAATAAGACATATAATAGGTAGACCAAAATATATCATAGCAGCATCTCCTTAATAAGATCATTTCAATCTACAGGTTTAATTTTTAGAGATACATTTACCCTTGTCTAAAATTAGCACATGTACACACAATGATAAGAATAAAGCTAATTAGAAAATAAAAAATCTATTTTAAATTCTTTTACGCAATGGGTAAATCAACATACATGATCATGCATCGGTTCTATGTAGCGTTAGCAGACGGCATAAATAAATTTAAGAATTGATTATTTTCCAAGAAATCATAAGTCGTTTGTATATTAAGTTATTTTATATCATATCATGTTTGATTTGTCATTTATAGTAATAAATGCTGACATATAAAATAATGCCATGAAATATCCTTAATGCTAGCCCCTAAATTATCATGCCTTTCCATAACATTCATGATTTATTTCATACATGCTGGAATAGGAAATTAGATGAATTGAGTGGCCCATTCTACCTTAGTAAATTTCATGTCATTTGACACTTACGACATAAGGTAAATTAATAAGTTTTACAAGGTTATGTACAAAAGTAAGCAAAACTCCTCCATAAAATAAAATAAATTAAAATTTCTATTTAAATTCATAAATATATGATAAATTGTTTACATTATGATTAGATGTCATGGACCATTTAGATAAATTTTTAGAGCATCAAATAACTAAAAACATAGTGAAAGTTAGCCAAAGATAATTACTCTAAATTATTTTGCTATTTTCATAATTTTATCTATAAATTATTTGGTATATTAAGTATATATTATCATGCATTATTCGTGATTATTATTATTTAAATAAGCTTATCATGAAACCAATATTTTATAGTATAGAATTTTTTACACTCTTACACTTGCATCCAAATTTAATTTTAGTGCAAAGCACTTCATATCATACAGTGTGTTCATAGGCTTGAACTTCAATGTTATTCTTACATTCGCACAACTATGAGAAAAAAAATATTTTCTATCTAACCTCACTAACCCTTTACACGTTTTCTTGTTTTGCAGACCATTACATTGGACGAGATAAAATTATCAACATCAAATCTGTAAATAAAGGTTTATGGTTGACACCCCCTTTTTTTTTGTAAGTCAACAACTTTATTATACTTGTAATCATATAGCAAATTTTAAAATTCCAATTTTACATAGTTTTCAAAGAGAATATTTTAATTTTCTATTTGTGTTACATTGAGGACCCTATGGTCTCGTTAGGCTGATGAACTGAATAAAGTCCTAGTACCTGTTATTTGACAATTATCATGTGAAATATAAATCTAATGAGAAAATGATGTCCTTCACCTGATTTTTTCTAAAAATTATCAACTGATGATCCCTGTAATTTTAATTGTTTATTAGTTGTTACCTGTATTTATATTTTCCTAATGAAATCTAAATAAAAGTTTGACAGTTTAGTGCGAAAATTATGACTTGGTGGATGGTAAATATAGGCACCCGGAGCTATAATTTCAAACATTGGGAAATAGCAATTCATGTGTTGATATTTGTTAGCTGCGAACTACAAGTAGGAAATAAATGATTTTTATAAACTTTGAAAGGACTTCAAATGTTCATAGATTTTCTAGGTTTTCTTAGTTGGTGGTGTTCGCTCTAATGAGTAAACCAGGATTAGACACCCTTATTGGAGAATTTGCCTTCAATGAAATAATTTTAGGGGCATTTACATATATACCGCCAAATTATGTATATACATATCTAAAGACAATATTTTAATTTTTACATTCAGGAAACGTAAATCTACCATTTTAAAAGGTGAAATATATATTTTCATGCATATGTGAGGTGGTATGGATGTATAAATTGAAGTTTAGGTGTAGATCTGTAAATACATAGGAATTGAATGGTATGTATGTAAATCTTCCATAATCAATTGTTGAATTCTTATTCCCTTCATTTATTTAACTCTCACGTTTTGAAAATGCCCCTTGAATTTGAATAATTACTATTCATTCTACTGTGATTGAATTAAACAACTTAAAGGTACTACCAGGTGGAATTGCAATTTTTTTCTTTTAGTATAACAGATTTAGCAGGATAACTGTGAAATCTTACTGTTTTGGAGATAGCCACATCTTTGACAACCATCATTAAATATAAAATAGTTGATGCGTCAGTACTGTCTCACTTGCCCTACAAATTTTCTAATTGCTTGGTAAGACACATTCATTTTTGCGGCATTTACATGCATACCACTCAATTCCTATGTATTTACATATATGACACCTATTTTGTACATTTGTACCACCCAAATCTTCATATGACATAAAGAACACCTCCATCTTAACTTTTAAAAAGTGAAATACCTCTTTTAAGGCATAGGTAAGGCAGCGAGTATGTAAAAATTGAAGTTTAGGTGTTAGAAATGCAAATACGTAGGAATTGAGTGGTATGTATGTAAATCTTCCTTTATGTTTTTATCATTGAAGCTGCCGAAATAAACGTCACGGATTCTTTATTTAGAATTTAATTTAGTTTAGTTTATATATGTGATTATAACTTTATAAAATAATATTTTAACTTTGAAAAATAATGTTTCAATTTAATTTATATATGACTATAATTTTGGAAAGTAATAATATTTTAATTTAGAAAAGTGAGACCGAATGGACCTCACATATTTGAATGTCTAGATGGTAGAGCACGATACCACAAATAGTACACTATCCTTTAGGATAAACATATCATTTGTTAGTAGGCTTAACCACCTAAACTAAAGAGTTTGTGACGTCTGTTTGGTCTGCGAAATTTTTTTTTTATAAGCCAACAAGTTCCCCTATTTAATACGGGAGATTAAATATGGTTTATATTAAGCTGGATTTTTATAAGCCACTTTCTTATGCATAGGTTTTTAATGCAAAGTTATTACAAAATGTAGATATCAAACTTTACGTGTTAGATATATAAATTCATAAGAATTGTGTGGTTTGTATGTAAATTTCCCAAATTCATTTCCACTAATCCTAAAGCTTAGGATGCATAAGGCTTCTAAACTACTTATTAGATTCTGCTATGATTTATTTGACCAGTTTTTCCTGTATCATGTTCTTATGTGTTTTTCTAATGCTCGTTATCTTCTGTATTCACTCACTCTCCCTTCAATGAGCCCTTTGATTTGCTTGAAATTTCATTCTATAATATTTCTTAGGAATATAAATTTAACAGAACATACAAGTCATCATGTGTAAATATTCTTTCTTTTGCTTGATTAATGCATCATTTTTTTATAAGGAAATTTATATACATACAACATAATTCTTATGTATTGCATATCTAACACCTAAAGTTTTTTTTTTACCTTCATTCCACACAAATTATTCATATCACATAAAAAATATCACTATTTTAACTTTCAAAAAATAATGGAACACACATTTTCATGCGCACATAAAGTGACATATGTTGTATTTATGGCTTTTATTTAATGGGTATATTATATATGATTTATTATTTTTTTTGGGTCTTTCCTTGTATGACTTAATCTTCATCTATATAAAGTATATAAGGCTCATGTAAGAGGTGTATGGTGTTGAGAAGTATTGCCCCAAGCCGTTTTGTTTCCCCCCATCCAGTGCTAGCAGAATCTCCCTCTCTGTGGACATAGGCGATTCGATTTAATATCGAACCATGTAAATCTATTGTTTTTTATTGTTGTTGTTTGAATTTCCATGTTTCCGTATTGTTTTTGTATAACAATTGATATTAGAGCTTCTACTTCGTGATTTGGGTTTGAGGTTCGGCTTTGACAGCAACAAATTCAGATTGCCGGAGTTTTTTGGCAACTGCTGTAGTTTCCAGTGGTTTCGCGGCGGCCGACGGTTCAGACAGAGTGAGCAGCAGGCAGTCCAGGTGGAGAAGAAAATCCAGCAGATCCAGCGACGCGGTGATCAGTCCGGCGAAGTGATTTGGTATTGGAGGCAGTTGGGTGGCTTAGCGCTGGAGCTAAGGAGGAACAAAGCAATGTTCCATATTTGTTGTGGCAAGGGAATCTCCTAGATGGAATATTCCTTCAATTAGGAAATTTTTTTCTGCTGCACACGGACGAAGAAAGGCATTTTTTTGTTTTTGGAAAGATTCTGTGCAAGGAATGTCAAAGTTTTGAGAAAAATATGTTGAATCCTGAATAGGCTCCACCCTTTTCCCTTTGCTTTCATTCCATTAAATAATAATCTTAAAATATATTTTAGATAAAAAAATATTTTGTATAATTTATTTTAGATAACTAAATAATAAATATTCTTAATCTAAATATTCATCTAAAAGGAAAATAAATCAGAATAAAGATATTGAAAATAATTTAAATAAGGTAGCTCCTAATTATAGAAAACTCCAAATTTAGCTATCTGATTTTTGTCCTTCCTAATTAACATCCCCCGCGTCCTAATCCAAATGCTACCGATCATAACCGATCATAGCCCACCGATCATAGCCCACAAATAGGATCCAGTTATACGATCCAGATGCTATCGATCATAGCCTACAAGTAGGATCCGCGTTTTGATCCAAATGCTACCGATCATAGCCCACAAATAAGATCTAGTTACACGATCCGAATGCTATAGATCATAGCCTGCAAGTAGGATCCGCGTCCTGATCCATATGCTACCGATCATAGCCCACAAGTACGATATGCTTCCTGTTATACTATCCAAATGTTATTGATTCTTCGTGCAACGATGAGGACGATTTGTTCCCTGATCTTCACGGCAAAAGTGCTGAAGCCGAGATGTTGAAGCTGTGAGTGTCGAAATCGAGATTTTGGGTTTCATTGTTGCATTCCAGCTGTCGAGTTCTGTGTCAGCGACTTCCTGCTTTGGTGATTTGGGTGTAGTGTTTTCTTCGTCGGAGATGGTGGTGGGCATAGGCCGAGCATCGCAAGCAAGGTCCGCTGGAGAGAACTCAACAATGATGCTGAAGACATGGATTTCTTTCTTATGTCGAGGATGGTAATTGGACCCGATGAGAATGGCGTGAAGAAGGTGATTGAGTACAAGTTCAACGATAATGGAAACAAGGTTAAGATCACGACCAAGACAAGCACCTGCAAGCCTGCGCGGGCGAGGTTTAGCAAGCGTGCTCTGGAGCACTGGGCATGGGCAAAGTTCGATGATGCTGCGCACGAGGATGCCAACAGCCGACATACTACGGTCTCTATGGAAGAAATAATTCCTCCCTTCCCGTCGCGCAAGAAGGCCGGCGGGGAGTCTTAACGGTCCTCCAATGATTATCGGTGGTTAGGACAAAAATTTGGCTCTGATACCATGTCAAAGTTTTGAGAAAAATAGGTTGAATCCTGAATAGGCTCCATCCTTTTCCCTTTGCTTTCATTCCATTAAATAATAATCTTACAATATATTTATGGTACAAAATATTCAGTATAATCTATTTTAGATAACATAATAATACATATTTCTAATCTAAATATTCAGCTAAAAGGGAAATAAATCAGAATAAAGATATTGGAAATAATTTAAATAAGGAAACTCCTAATTATAGAAAACTCCTAATTTAGTTGTCTGATTTTCGTCCTTCCTGATTGAGAAGGAAGTCTTTGTTTTAAGTAAACTTAGGCTTGTCTGATTTTCGTCCTTCCTGATTGACAAGGAAGTCTTTGTTTTAAGTAAACTTAAGCTCTGTTTGGTGTAGCTTAGAATTGCATTTGGCATTTTGAAAATGCCAGCCCGACATTGATTCACACATTTATTTGGCGTATTTGAAAACTCTGTTTTACGTTTATATTAGCCGCGGGCTGCGAAATCGGCCCCGCGGCCCGCGTCTTCCCATCTGTGTTCGAGGTCAATTCCTAATGCGCCCCTCTCCTTCACTCGACTGCGGTCGAGGATCGGTGTAGGCTAGGGCATCACATCTCTCCTCTCTCGTACCTCCTCCCGATCTCCCTCTCCTCTTACTCTCTCGGTTTTGCTGAAGTCATCGCCTTCATGACCTAACTCGTGTGATACATTCTGTATGTAAGTGAAACGAAAATGCAATAGTGGGATCACGAATACAGAGACCCGAAACTCTCTTCCTCCTCCTTCTGTTTGCTCTTACCCGCAACCAGTGAGGAAGGTAACCTTCAACTTTCTCATTTTCCTCCCACCTCCCTTGATTGACTCCTTTGTTCGCAGAACACTGCAAAGCAAGCGAAGGATCGATTGACTCGATTGCCAAATTAGATGAAGTTGTCTTCTCGCAACGATTGCAGAGGATCGATCAGTTCCATCACCAAAGTAGAACAA